GACTCTTTGCGAGCCCATGAATCGCAGCACGCCAGGCCTCCCTGTCCATCAGCTTTACTGAGTTATTATTCACATACCATAAGAATTCTCCCATTTAGAAGGTACAGTGTTGTGAATCTGTAACCACTATCTAATTTTAGAACATTTTTTTATCACACCAACAAAGAAAGCCTATATCCACTAGCAGCCCCAGTCAACCCAGATCTACTGTCTCTGAGAATTTGCCTTTTCTGAATATTTCATATATGGAATTATACAATATATGGCCTTTTAAGTATCTGGCTTCTCTCACTTAACATAATGTTTTCAAAGTGCATACATGTAGCATGTATCTGTATGTTATTCCTTTTCATGGCCAAATAATCCATTTTGTGCATGTACCATATTTTGTTTATCATTTGATGGACTTTTGGCTTGTTTCTGCTTTTCAGCTATTATCAATGAAGCTGTTATGAACATTCATGTGCACGTTTTTGCATGGTCATATGCTTTCATTTCTTTGGGGTGGATACCTAGTATTAGAATTGCTGGTTGCGTGTGTGCTAAGTCTCTTCAGTCATGTCCAACTCTGTGCGACCCTATGGGCTGTAGCCCGCCAGGCTCCCCTGTCCATGGGCTGCTCCTGCATTGGCAGGCAGGTTCTTTACCACTAGCGCCACCTGGGAAGAATAGCCAGAATTGCTGGTTATATGTTTAATATTTTGAAGAACTACCAAACTCTTCCTAGGTGGCTGCACCATTTTGTGTTCCCCAGCACTATGGGGAGGGACTGAGTGTTACAGTCTCTCCACATCCTGACACTTGTTATTGTCTCTACTCTGATTATAACCATCCTAATACATTTTCCTATTTAGTAATGAGATTGAGCACTTTTGCAAGTATTTCTTGGCCATTTTTCTGTCTTCTGGGAAGAAATGTCTGGTCTCATCGTTTGTACAATTTTTAATTGAGTTATTTGTCTTTACAACTGTTGAGTTGTAAATGTTCTTTTTATATTCTGGATACAAGTCCCTTATCAGATATATAACTTACAAATATTTCCTCTCAGACTGTGTACTTTTAATAATGTTAATTTATTTAGTTGTTTCTGGTTGTACTGGGTCTTCATTGCTGTGCGGGCTTTTCTCGTTTCGGTGAGCTGGGGCGCCTCTCTGGTTGCGGTTGCAGGCTTCTCGCTGCTGTGGCTTCTCTTGTTGCGGAGCATGGGCTTAGGGTCATGGGCTTCCGTAGTTGCAGCTCCCGGTCTCTAGAGGACGGGCTCTATACTTCGGCACTCATCGATTGGTTGTTTTTTTTTTTTTTAAACAGGCATTTGTAAAGAGCATTTTAGATGCATAGCAACATTCAATGTAAGATACAGACGGTTCCCATATACCCCTGCCTGCACAAAAGTACAGCGTCCCCTACTATGAGCATCCTTTACCAGAGTAGTGCATCTATTTGGTACATTTATTACACTGGTTAACCTACCTTGGCACATCATTATCACCCAAAGTCCAGAGTTTACCTTAGGGTTCACTCTTGGTGTAGAACTTTCTATCTCTTTGATTCAAGTATAATGACATGTACCCACCATAAAAGTTTCATACAGAATAGTTACATTGCTTTAAAAATCCTCTATGTTTTTCCTACTCATTCCCCTCCCATCCCTGGCAGCCACTGATATTTTTACTGTGCCATAATTTTGCTTTTTCCAGAATATCATACTGCCATATATTGGAAGTCACACAGTATGTAGCTTTTTCACATTGGCTTTTTTCATTTTAACTGTGCCTTTAAGGTTTCCTCATGTCTTTTCATGGCTTGATAGTTCATTTCTTTCTAGTGCTGAATAACATTTGATTGTTTGAATGTCCCACAGTTTATTATTCACTCACCTACTGAAAGGTATTTTGTTTGCTTTTATGTTTTGGTAGGTATGAATAAAGCTGTGATGCAAGTTTTTGTGTGGACATAGCTTTTCAGCTCATATGAGTAAATAACAAGGAGCATCATTGCTGAATCATATGGTATTAGAGTGTGTTTTGTTTTGCGTGAAACCATTGAAATGTCTTCCAAAGTGACTGTACCATTATTTTTCATTCCCACCAGTGATGAATGAGAGTTCATGTTGCACATCTTCGTCAGCCTTTGGTGTTGCCACTGTTTTGGATTTTGGCCATTCAGTAGGTGTATATGGTATATCATTGCTGCAAGTGAGATCTAATTAGAGAATTTGCTACCCCCAATGACATTTGATATTGATCATCTTTTCATATATGTATCTACCATCTGTATGTCATCTTTGGTGAGGTATCTGTTCAGGTCTTTTGCCCTTTTAAAAATTGAATTAATGGTTTTCATATTATTGAATTTTAAGAGTTCTCTGTATATTTTAGATACCAGTCCTTTATTAAATATTTCTTTTGTAAGTATTTTCTCCCAGTCTGTGGCTTATCTTCTCATTCTTTTGACTGTGTCTTTCACAGAGCAGGAGAAATCTGTTTTCATGGAAGCTTGATTATCAATCATTATTTTTCATTGAAAGTGCTTTTGGTGTCATATTTTTCTGGCACATTCCTATTTTCCTTCTAGTGCCCACACTTCCCATTCCTTCCCTTATTTTGACCTTCTCATTCCAATTATTTTTCTTTCTTTAGACTCTTCCCCTCAACTGTCCGTGAGAGTTGAAATACAGGAAATAAACGAAACTGTACAAAGGCTGCCTAAATTTCAGTAGGGAATAATTAAAGACCAGTGTTTTCCTGATGCAAAGTAATAGAATTTCAAGTAATAGAATTTCACTTGACTAGCTGCTGCCAGAGATTTATTTGGGAAGAAGTGTTTTTAGCTCACAGATGATCTATGAAAATCTTTCCCAAGCTTGAGATTCCATGAGCCTGAGCTATAATGTTACCCAGGCTGCCTTCTTTCCTAACTTACTTGTCTGGCCAGGCCATTTCTATTGGGTTATTTAAAGACATTTAGGTTTTCTTCTATCAAGATAGGATGGTGTTTTGCCCTTTCAAAGACGTTTGTTTTCAATTCACAGATTTCCATGCCGTCAATGCAGATGGCTGTGAATTGGGTCTTCTGACCCATGAAAATTTTTTCAGAAACCTTAAAGAAGGTTGTTAACTATTGAGTTTATGCCTGTTCTTTGAGGAGTGACTCACTCAATGCCTAAGGGCTGCAGACCAGGCCTCTGGCTTTGGGTGATATGGCTTGAGATATGGCTGGTTAAATTTGGAGTTGGGCATTCACTGCTGCTCTAACTGCTCGCTTCTCCTTCCTCTTCCCCTCTCCTTTCCCCCCTTTTATTCCCCCCTCCCCATCTCGTTCCCTTCTTTCTCCTCTCCTTTCTCTTTCCTCCCCCACATTCTCCTTTGGTCCTCCCCCTCTCCATCCTCTTTCCTTCTCTCCTTCCCTCATCTTTCATCTCCGGCAGGTAACTGCACTCATCTCTTTGTTTAAATGAAATAATGTTCTTCCCTTTTCTCAAGTTTTTGTTGTAAGATTAGCAAGAACAACCAAGGAATGGTTTGGGTACCCTGAGAAGCTTTGTGTAAATTCACAAGTGTAATTTGCTTACTGTTTTTGCATTTCCTTCTTTCCTATTTCCCTATACTTCCTTCTAATGTGTAGTAAGTTACCTTTTTCTGACGAATAAACATAGTTCATACTTACTGATAAGAAACAACTGTTACCAGGGTTAAACTACCTGGGGAGAGTTTGCCAGACTCCTATCTTCATTTGCGTTTGAACTTGGGTCTTTGTGGAGGGCCTATAAGTGAAAGATGCCAAGAGCTGCCAGGTACTGCTAGGCTGTGGGAGATTTAGCAGATAGCAATCCTGCTTCTACTTTGGACCCTGGCAGTTCCTCTGCCCATTTGTAGGTCAGTGGTATTGCCAATTTGTGCACCATTTACAGAAGACACCAGCAAGAAATGGCAAGGATTTTCTGATCCAAGGAAAATGATGCTCACCGCCTTGGGATGGTGCTTCAAGTGAACATTTTGGAATGATCGGGTGTAGTACTACATTGCCATGGTGACCTTGAAAGCAAAGCTTGTCTTTGGATATGAACTGCTCTCATTTACCTTTGAGCATTCCTTCCCCCCTCTATTTTCTTTCAACTTCTTTGATGATACAATGACAGCTGTCCTCTCATATTCAAATTTAGTTGATTCAATAAATATGTAGAAGTATTACAAGCTTATATTATAATTGCTGTATCCTTTTTTGGTTTTCTTATACATCAAATCCTTCCATGGGACATAGGAACTCAGGGAAGTTCAAGAGAAAATGCATAATCATCAGTCTAGTGTTGTTCTCTGCTTAAAATGGTAGGGATGTAGTAGAAATATTGGCTGAGTTTCCTCATAAAGGCTTCTGTTCCATTTGACTTCACTTTATTTGACATTATAGCATCTTCTGGGATCTTATAGAATAGCCAGTGAACTGAATGGGAATCCTGCTGTTGATTCCCCTTCACTCCAAGTTAATATACCAGTGGTGTTTTAGGGATTAGGCAGGAACTCTGAAATACTTCCATGCTTCCAATTTATGAAATCTAGATGATTCAGCACACTGTTTCTTCTCTGTGTTTCTGTCTGTTTCATTTTGGCTAAGCTGAGTCTTCATTGTGGTGTATAGGTTTTCTCTAGTTGTGGAGCGTGGGCTCTAGAGTTTTCAGGCTCAGGGGTGCAGTGCATGGGTTTAGTTGCCCTCAGGCATGTGGGATCTTAGCTTCCCAACCAGGGATTGAAATCCCACATCACCTACACTGGAAGGCGGATTCTTAACCTGTGGACCACTAGGGAAGTCCCTCTGTGTTTGTTTTAAATGCGGAATGCTCAAAATTACTACTGTGAAAATAGGTTTAATATCAGGGAAGGGCCATCGCTATTTTGACCATTGTGCTTTGATAATTTGCCCAGATTAAGTCCTCTGGAGTGTGTGAACTAGGCATCACTATAATCCAATGAAGAAATACATGCAAATTTAAACTTCTCTCCCAGTTTAGTAAGAAACCTAATAAAAGTAAAAAACATTCTACCACCTCAACAGAGAGATGGAGATCTTCCAGCTTCAAAGAAGAAACGCCAGGCAGGGGAGAAGATCATGTACACTTTGGTCTCAGTCCCACATGGAAATGACATTGCGTCGCTTTTCGAACTGGATGCCACGACTCTTCAGAGAGCGGACTGCCTGGTTCCAAGGTAAAAAAAACACACAAAAAAACAGGTTAAACAATAATGTCCCTTTGAATAATTTTACTGGTTGGTAAGGAGTTAAAACCATTATTTTAATATAATTTTTGTGACAGCAAGAGAGCAAGTATAAGTGAAAAGCAAGTGTAAAAAATCATGCCTCTTTTATGAGTAGATTAACATAGTTGTTCTATTCTTACAAATAAGTAAAATGTTCAGGACAAGAGAAATTCTGAGAAATTAATAAGAATTATTTATTTCTATTACTTGGATGTCCTGTGGTTACTAAAATGAAAAACAATCTAGAAGCATTTCCATTAATACTTACAGCATTTTTGTACTCCAGTAAAAATTAATTTAAAAATACTTATGACATTTTTATTATGTAAAATTCCAGATTTCATTCATTTATTTATTTATTCATCCATTTGTTCATTTATTTAGTCATTGAATTAACAAATCTTTACTGAACATTGATTACCTCCCAGGCATTGCCCTTGGCATTGGGAGGACAACTGTGAGCAAACTGGTTATGAACTTAAATTCAAATGGGAGAGAGAGGTAATAAATAAGCACAAACTATAAGGTCAGGTAATAAAAATGTTTTGAAGAAAAATTGAAGCATATGGAGAGTTCTATTATTAGGTATGAGACCTCTCTGATTGAGGACATTTGAGAAAATATCTGAATGATTTGAAAGATCAAGCCCTCTCCATCTGGGAGAAGTGTTTCAAGCAGCAGGACCAGGAAATGGAAAAATCTTGAAATTTACTAGCTGTGCTGAAGGCCCAGCTAGGAGACAAGTAGACCTAAATGAAGAGGGGGAAGGAGGATTGTTAGTGAGGTAATTGTTAACTTAAAGTGAGAGAATATTTTACTTTCTTTTGTTTGGATTTGATTAAGTTGTTTTTTTNTATTACTATTCAGAGCTGCTGCCGGGCCCTTCTCATAGAACAGATTTTTGTATTAACATATTCTTTGTCATTAGTTGTTTTAATGCTTGTGCTAGTGAACACTTAGTAATAACTACTATTGTAATATCACTCTTGCTGTGTGCTGAGCACTCTGACAAGTTCTTTATAAATATCCTGGCAGCAATTCTAACAGATGAGAACTAAAGACTAGCTGTGCTGTGTGTGCTTAATTGCTCAGTAGTGTCTGACTCTTTGTGACCCCATGGACTGTAGCCCACCAGACGCCTTTGTCCATGGGATTTCCCAGGCAAGAATACTGTAGTGGGTTGCCATTTCCTTCTCTCAGAGATCTTCCCCACCCAGAGGTCGAACCCAGGTCTCCCACATTGCACTCGCATTCTGAGCCACCTGGGATGAACTAGTTAATGCCGTGCGTTTCATGTCAGCTTTAAACTGGAATCATCTGTGTGGCATTTTGCCCTTTATGCTCTGGCCACATGGAGACTGGTGAAGTCACTTGGAGAGCTTTAAAAAGTCCTGATGCCTTCTCTGAGTCCCAGACATTCTGATTTAAGTAATGTGCAGTGCAGCCTGGGCAACAGGCTGCAGAAGCTTGTCTGGTGACTCTACTGTGCAGCCAGGTTGGGGAACTACTGGCTTAGTGTGACTCGGTTGATCAGTCAGTGATTGATCATGAGGTGAAATTTGATCCTGATGTGTGTGAATTTGCAGTCTATGCTCTTAACCACTATGATGCATACCTTCATCTTTTATTTTTATTTATTTAAGACTTTTTTTTTTGATGTGGATCATTTTTGAAATCTTTATTGAATTTGTTACAATACTGCTTCTGTTTTATGTTTTGGTTTTTTGGCCTTGAGACATGTGGGACCTTAGCTCCCCAACCAGGGATCCAACCCATACCCTGCATTGGAAGGCAAAGTCTTAAGCCCTGGACTGCCAGGAAGTCCTCCCAGCGCCTTCGTATTTTAGACATTCAAATGGCTTCAAGATTCTAAGAAAGGATTTTTGTGGTGTAGGTCCTAAGGAGTTATTCATTTCTAGAATTCTTGGAAATTGCAAGTTATTATGCTCAAGTGTGATCTCATTAGTTTGGAACTCAGCCATCTAGATTGACTCCATAAGCATCTATAGAAAAAGTGCAGGGGTAAGACAAGGGGGAATGACCTTGGAGCTGAATAAGCTATGGCCCCACTTTCCAGGTGCTTAAAATACAATGGTGAGGATAACTGAGTCCAGATGACATCTCCTGTGTAATTCCATGCAGAAGATAAGTGGTATCACAGAGGTATTTCAGTACTGGACCTTTGCTGATTATTTGGACAATAATTGGACCTTTGCTGATTATTTGGACAATAATTGGACCTTTGCTGTTCTAGATTTTTGAAAATCTCTATCTACTTTCACTAATGAGCAGAACCATGGTGTTTGAGACTAAATCTCTTTCCCTGAAGCCTTTGATTTTTTTTTTTTTAATTTGAGTTTCTCTTACAGGCCTTAATGCTTTCTGCCTTGTGTTATAGGGATTTATGTTATCTTTCCTGCTGAACTTCTTGCAACTTGAAGGCAGAGAACTTACCACAGTGGTTTTCTTTTAATGGACACTTTATTCATTTTGTTTAAGTTTCACTGAAAATGATAATATTTGAGCCAAAGGAAGCTCTAGCTGTTCTTTCTCATACACTTTCTCACAATTCACCTATCATTGGTTCTTATTATTGCCAGAAAATGAATTAGCAAATATGGGACCATTGCTCCTAAGGGAAATACAGAGTTAGGTTCCTGCAAGCCTCTGGACACAGTATTTTTGTCAATCAGTTAATACTCAACCTTGTTTTATATGTGTTTTTGGTTAAAGACACCTCACTTAATATATATTTTTGGTTCATGAACACTGAATTCATGACCATCAGCACTGTAACTCATGCCTGGATGAAGCTTCTCTGTCATTAGTATTTTCCCTGTAATGCACATCACAGCTTTACTCTACAGGAACACAAGACAGCACTTCAGCACTACGCTTGGGACTGTTTTCAACAATGAATTCCCCAATGACAGTGAAAAAATGGCAATATACAGACCACAAAAAGACACTTATTGACAGTTCAAGAGTAGAAACGAGAAGGCAGGGCACCGCCTTGTTCAGCCTCACTGGTGATGTGAATGGCAGGGAATCAAATTTTTTGCTACTCTATGCATGTCTGAGAAAGACTGCCAAAGTGCCCCCAAGAGTTGATTTTGGGGTTACAGATAATTTGTCACAAGTACATAATCTGCAAGTATTGAGGATTGACTACACTATATACTTTCATGTGCAAATGGTTAAACCACAAAAGGGACTGCAGTGAGACAGCCGTTATAACTGAGATGGTTACACATCAGTGCTTCTTACCTTCGTATACATCAGAATTTCCTGGAAAGGCTGGTAAAATACTCACTGTTGGACCTCATGCTCAGATTCTCTGATTCAGTGGACTGGGGTAGAACCTTGGAATTTTTATTTCTGACTAGTGTCCAGGCGATGCTGATGGTGCTGGTCCAAGGTCTAGATTTTGAGAAACACTGGTCTAGGTAATAATACTGCATGCTTTGAAATAGTCTGTAGTCAGATTTTTCCTTTAAATGTTACTGATCTACACTCAGTTAATTGCCTAAAATATATTTATATTCATATCATGTATGAAACTGTTAAATATGTTAATGTTAAGTGTGTTAATTTTTTATAAACCATTTGTAAATATTATTTTTCTTTTAGGAACTCGTATGTTCGGTTAAGACATTTATGTACAAACACGTGGGTAACCAGTACTAGCATCCCCATAGACACGGATGAAGAGAGGCCAGTTATGTTGAAGGTATGTTTCCGAGAATGGTTTAGTTTTCATCCAGATGTCGTGTGAATAGGATTAGGGAATGACTTACATGTTCTTAGAACTGCACTTCGTCAATATTAGAAATTACTGCAATGAATTTCATCAAGGATTCATGCCCACCAGTCAGGTCACTGCAGGGCTGTGATTCAAGAAGATGCAGCAGAGATACCAAGAGAATGGGAGCAGCATGTAGAAAGGGAAGAAGATTCCAGAAGGGCATTTCCTCTCCTCTGTTGAAACTGAAGCAAAGGGCAAGGGCAAAAGGGAAACACTGCCAGTCGGGCTTTGAGAACAAGGCAGGAAATGGGCAGGAGAGATCTGTGTCTCTACAGCTTTTCATAGTGGCCGATGCTTGTAGGAATTGTGTTTGGATTATCTACTTCTGTTTTGTACCTCTTCTGCAGTACTAAGATGTGTTAGTACTTGAAGAGTATTGCATCATTTTTTAATAAAGCAACTAATCTTAATGGAAAAATACATTGCAGATTGGAACTTGCCAAACAAAAGAAGATAAAGAAGCGTTTGCCATTGTGTCTGTCCCACTGTCCGAGGTCCGAGACTTAGACTTTGCCAATGATGCAAATAAAGTGCTGGCGACTACAGTTAAAAAGCTGGAAAATGGCACAATAACTCAAAATGAAAGGAGGTTAGTAACTTTCTAGAATGACTTATACTTATGTATTTATCATTCATGTTTTTAAATTTATTTATTTAATTAGAGGCTAATTACTTTACAATATTGTGGTGGTTTTTGCCATACATTGACATGAATCAGTCACGGGTGTACATGTGTCCCCCATCCTGACCCCCCTGCCACCTCCCTCCCCCTCCCATCCCTCTGGGTTGTCCTAGTGGACTGGCTTTGAGTGCCCTGTTNCACTGTTTATAATAGCCAGGACATGGAAGCAACCTAAATGTCCATCAGCAGACGAATGGATAAGGAAGCTGTGGTACATATACACCATGGAATATTACTCATTGTGGTTTTGATTTGCATTTCTCTGATAATGAGTGATGTTGAGCTTCTTTTCATGTGTTTGTTAGCCATCTGTATGTCTTTGGAGAAGTGTCTTTTTAGTTCTTTGGCCTGTATTTTGATTGGGTTGTTCTTTTTATTTTTCTGATATTGAGCTGCATGAGCTAGAATAACTTTTAAATCATCAAGAGTCAGTTGTCAGCTCTTGCAGTAGCTCTCAGGTGAATGAATGACTCTAAGGAACTATGCAGAATGGTCTCCATGGCAGCACACCTGCTTCTCAATGAGCAGATCCTGATGCATTAATGAAAATGGTAACATTAAAGTCTGGGGAATGTTTACATTTTTCTATTTTAGTTAGGCTTGAACACAGTTGTTTTGAGTTACTTTCCGATCTTTCCTTTTAAATGTTTCATAAGAGATGCCTTTTGATGCACTTGATTTAATATTTGGGTTTGGAGTTTTAAAGGCCCTAAAAGTTTTGCACTTTTTTGTTCTTATTTATTCAAGATACATTTCTCTGCTCAAGTCCCACAAAGCAAACATGTTATATAATACCTGCAAACAGTCTGCAAAAATGTAGCTTTCTGCCCTTGTAACTGGCTTGAAGACGCTGGAAGAAACTGGATCTTTGATTCCTCCACTCATTCCATTTTGGAAATGAGTAAGAAAGAGTGATACTGATAGCCATTAGTCATTTCATCCCTACTTTATACTGGTACTATGTTAGGCACTGTAAATGTATTTCTCTAGTCCTTCAAACAGCCTTGATATGGACATTATTCCCATTCTACATAAAGGGAAATTGAAAGTTTAAGCCAATCAGGTAAGGTCACACTGTAAGTGGGGTATTTAATCATATGTGTTTTTAAAGTCCATGGTTTTCCAACACAACCAGAACACAAGCATTCTCTGTTTCTCCACTTCATGGTCTGCTACATACCTTTCAATTTGAATAAGAAAAATAAGAAATTACCAGCTTCCCAGGCATTCACACACTGAAACTCTCATGCACAGCTGGTGAAATGATAATTGGTATCAGTTCAGTTCAGTTGCTCAGTCGTGTCCGACTCTTTGCAAACCCATGGACTGCAGCACGCCAGGCTTCCTTGTCCATCACCAACTCCCAGACCTTGCTCAAACTCATGTCCGTTGTTGTGTCGGTGATGCTATGCAACCATCTCATTCTCTGTCCTCTTTTCCTCATGCCTTCAATCTTTCCCAGCATCAGGGTCCTTTCCAGTGAGTCAGTTCTTCACATCAGGTGGCCAAAGTATTGGAAGCTTTCAGCATCAGTCCTTCTGATGAGTATTCAGGACTGATTTCCCTTAGGATTGACTGGTTTGATCTCCTTGCTTTCCAAGAGGTAATTGGTATAAGCATTTTGAAACATAGTTTGACAGTAAGGAGCAAAGTTTAAGGAAGCAGTCACTCCTCATGTAAGTGGAATCACGCAGTGTTTGTCCTTCTGTGACTGGTTTATTTCACAAAGCAGGTTCACTCATATTGTCATATGTGACAGGATTTCCTTGTTTGTTAAAACTGTGTAGTGTTCCTAGGACAGTTTACACACAGTGGCAATGCAGCCATGAACAGCAGAGACTCCATTCACATCTTCATGCAATTTACGGGCTTGAGTATTGGCTCCAGTTCCTTGAGATAACTCAGACTCTATAACAGGGACCATCCAACATGTGATCACCAGATCAGATGTCCTTCTGATACAGAGTTAATATTTTCCTATAGCAGTGTCATTCCCTTTTGAATTTTACTTGCTTGATATTCCTGTCTTGACACCAGTATCGTTTGTTTAGTGTTTGAGTAGATGCCTTTTTTCAATATCCATTTGTTTCAGATTTGCCAGTCATTTTGCTTTGTTAATGTCTTGTGAGCAGGATTTTAAAAATATAATCTGATAGTCTATTTGAATTTGCTAAATCTTAATTACCTTGATTTGTTAAATAATGTGTTTGGACTTATTTGAATACCAATGGGTATCATATTTTGTTATTTTCTTTCTCCTGTATAACTTTTCTTCTTTTCCCTCTTTTTCTTTCCTCCTTTCTGTTAGAATGGTTAAGTTTGTATTTTCTCCCCATTTTTACTTCTAGTTTAGAGGCTATAGATCCTATTCCTATTATTTTGCAAGTGCCCATATGGTATATGGGCCCCTGCCCATTTCAGCTATATATTCTTTTTTACACAACTTGAAAATATTTCTTTCTCTCATGGGAGAAAAATACTTCAGAATGCTTTGATTATTCTCTGCTATTCTACTTCCCATCTGTTTTTGGGGGGGGACTAGTTGTCTAGAAAGAAAGTATTCTTTCTCTCATGGGAGAAAAATACTTCAGAATGCTTTGATTATTCTCTGCTATTCTACTTCCCATCTGTTTTTGGGGGAGACTAGTTGTCTAGATGCATAGTTCTGAGTTTATCCTTTAAATTGCTTATATCATCTAGATTTTGATGTATCACTTTTTTTCTGAAAATTTAGTTCCTAAAATTATTTTTCAGTTATTAATTATATTTCTTAATGCATTTTACCTTTTGTTCTCGTTGCTTTTATTCTTTGCATTTCACTCCTGTCTGGGTTCACTTTTCTTTTTGCTGAAATTTTTTCTTTAGTCTATTCAATGAAGTTATAAATCTTATTAATCTTTATATGGGGATGTCTTTATTTTCCCTCCTTTTTAAACTGATACTTTATGTATGAAATGCCAGTTTGACAATTCTTTTTCTTTAGTATTTTAAAGTTGTAACAATTATTTTCTGTTGTGTCTTGTTGCCGAATTGTTATTCTTTGTTGGCATTTTTCTTTACTTTCTGATAATTTTGTAGATTTTTTCTTTTGTCTTTTTGATGTCCCAAAGTTTCATTACAATGTGTTTACAAGTAATTTTTAATTTTGTTTTTCCCACTTGATGCTTAGGGCATACTTTAAATCAGAATACTTATATTTTTCTTCATTTCTGGAAAATTTTCAGCCATTTTCCTTCAAATATTTCTTAATCTTTTCCTCTAATCTCTCTTCTGGAACTCCTATTAGATGTGTGTTGAATCCTCTTAATTCATCGCCTTTGTGTCTTAACTTTCCTTTTATAATTTGCCTTTTGAAATCTGTCCTGCTTCCTAGATTGATTTTTTTGATACTGTTTATAAGTCACCACATTTTCTTAGAACGTGTGTGTAGTATTTTACCTTCATGCATTATATTTTTATTTAAATGATTATAATTTTGTTTCTCAGATTTCTATTGGCTCTTTCGCATAGCCACATTTTCTTCATTTGTATCTGCCCTCTTTTATATATATTGTCTTCTTTGGTATGTAATTGTTTTCTTAACTCTTTGAGGATTGGAAGCACACTGATTTAAAAGTTATTTTAAAATTGTACTGTTACTTGCATTTTTTTGGTAATGAAGTGGCCTCCTGGTTTTTTAGTATGATGGATGGCTTTCTTAATGTCGGTTTTAATCTTGTGCTTTGAAATTTAAATATGCAGGTTCTTCTTAAGTGAAAATTTTTTTCTTATTCTCTCTTTGCATCCTCTCATCTTCTTTATTAATTTTATGGTTGCCTTCACCTGGCTCATCTCAACAAGTCCCGAGCCAGATCTGATATTGAGAGCTGAGAATTCATGTCCTCTGGTAATTTGAGGTTTTAGCCATTGAGATTGCAGGTGGTCGAGTCCAGTCCTGTGTGTGTGCTTCCTCTCTTTCCTCCTATCACCCACTGCACAGCCAGGACTGGAACAGGGGTCACAATACTTTTAGGGTTCCTTTAAGAGATGGAGACACCCTGCTTTAGTCTCTGCTTTTGTATCTTTAGTTTAGTTCCCTGCCACATGCTTTCAGTCCCCCTTGTCTTGCCGGTGCTGAATATTATCCTTGCTCATCACAGTGTTTCTTATTTCATTCCTGGTTGACAGTGTTTTTTGTTGTGTTTTAGGTATGTCTTTTTAAAATATATATTTTGTCTATCATGGCTGCATATGGTAAAAAAATTCACAAAAATTTTTTAGTAAAAGGAAATCACTAAGTTTGGATGATTAAAGGACTCACCCATCTCCCTGGGGGCTCAGACAGTAAAGCGTCTGCCCACAATGCGGGAGACCCAGGTTCAATCCCTGGGTTGGGAAGATCTCCTGGAGTAGGAAATGGCAACCCACTCCAGTATTCTTGCCTGGAAAATCCCATGGATGGAGGAGCCTGGTAGGCTACAGTCCATGGGGTCACAAAGAGTCAGACATAACTGAGCGACTTCACTTTCACTTTCACCCATCTCCCAGTATAGAATGATAATTTGGTCTAAACTGACAAAATCAGTTTTATTTGCCACAGATGGGATGCTTGAGGTGAGAAGACAAAAATAAGGTTTCAACAGTTTTGGAGGTCAAAAGAGAAGACTCATTTTCTTGGCTATCATTGCCTCATCATTAGGGGAGGTGGGCTCTGCAAATAAGGTTAATGTATAGTCATTCTCAGTCAAGACTGTTAATTTTCTTCATCATCATTCCATTAGCTATCACCAGTTTTTAATTTATTTTTAATTGGAAGATAATTGCTTTACAATCTTGTGTTGGTCTCTGCTGCACAACATTGACAATCAGTCATAACTATATATATAGCCCCTTCCTCTTGAGCCTCCCTCCCATCCCCCCTATCCTACCCCTCGAGGTCATCACAGAGCACCAGGCAAGGCTCCCTGTGTTATATAGCAACTTCCCACGAGACCTGTTTTACATATGGTAGTGTATATATGTCAAAGCTACTTTCTCAATTTGTCCTACCCTCTCCTTCCCCTGCTGTGTCCACAAGATCACTCTCTACATCTACATCTCCACCATCATTAATTTGTAAGCCATCTGGAAGAGTTTGAAGCAGAGGCATTTGTAGTTTCCCCCAGAGTTGTGCTTTCTTAGATAACTAAACACCTGAATACAATATCCTCTAAACAGCAAGAGAAAAAAAATACCAATACTTCTAAAAAGAAAATGCAAATGTATTTATGCCTGGACTGGACTTGTAGATTGAGCCCTTGCGGCTCAGCTCAATTTTAGCTTGCTGAAGAAGTCTGAGCTCGAAATAAATATTTTATTATTTCTCTTAAGGACAACAGAATAATTTAGAAGATGTTGAGTCACAATTTTGAAAGAAATTCACACCACATTTTGATGTGTAGAAATCATGTTTTACATTTCTGTGTTGCCCCTAGAAGTTATGTCAGTGAATCCTATTCCTAAAACATGTTGTTGAAGAGAAACAGATTGGATTAAAATTTAAAATAGGCACACAAGAAAACATAATATCTCTGGAATTTTGAGTAAGTTTATGAACCTTGGAGGTGTGCTGAATTTTAATGTGGTGGCTAAATTCTAGATTATAGGTGTATCCACTTGGCTCCACTCCCTTGCAGGAGTTGAATCTGGAGATAAGATCAAGGTGCTTCATAACTGAATATATTCCACACATTTCTAGAGTCACTGAATCTCTTAAATTGTAGTTTTTTTGTTGATGTGATCTTGATTGATCATACTAATAACAGTGAATAATTATGCTGATGTATATGGATAAAGCTTATTTATTAAAATATAGTTGATTTACAATGTTGTGTTAGATTCTACTGTAAAGTGATTTAGTTATATATAAATATACATATGCTTTTTCATTATGGTTTATTATAGAATGTTGAATATAGTTCCCTGTGCTACGAAGTAGGACCTTGTTATCTGTTTTATATATGGTGGTTTGTATCTGCTAATCTCAAACTCCTAATTTATTCCTCCCCCACCCTGTGCCTGCTTTTGTAACCATGTTTGTTTTCCATGTCTGTGTTTCTGTTAAATGTTAAACCATTGTAAATAAATTCATTTGTGTCATGTTTTAGATTCCACATACAAGTGATATCATATGGTATTTGTCTTTTTTTGTCTGACTTTAACTTCACTCAGTATGATAATCTCTAGGTCCATCCATGTTGCTCAAATGATACTATTTCATTCCTGGAGTAGCATTCCATCATGCATATATATGACATCTTCTTGGATAAAGTTTATTTAAATATCTGTTAGATAGTTTTTGTAGTATTAAAAAATTCATATATGATGCACTTCCCTGGTGGTTTAGTGCCTGTATGAATTTTACAAAAAAAAGTCACACACAAAATGATAAAACGCAGGAAGGAGGAAGAAGAAAGCTAAGGGAGGGAGGGCTCTCCAGACACTTTAGGGGCCAGACACCACTAAAGTTCAAGTAATAGTTAAAAAAAAATAGCCAAAATGTAGAATTAAAGGTAAACATTAGTGTATGAATTTAGGGTGTTATGATTTTTATAGATCAGTTAATACTTTCAGAACAATTTAGAAATATGATGGCTTGCTCTTGTCCCTTTTTGCAGGTCATTTAAGTTTTTCCTATTCTGTACAGGGAGAAATTGTAATGTGGTAAAGATTAGAAAATGTAGTTGAGTTGACAATAAAAAAGAACAAATTTGAGTTTAAGAATTTAGTTTAGCTGTTCTCTCAGAAAGCCAAAATACCCTTCTTTGTGAGTCAGTCATGAAAAAGCATCTGCTGATGGGTGTTATCCTCTCAACACCTCTGGTTTGGGGACTCATGGCATTTTATTTCATAATTGTCTTTGCAAATACTTGATTAGAGTTGGAGGTGGGAGTAGGGGTTGGTGGAACTGAAGAAGGGATGCTCTTTGCAAAGATTTAAGTATTTACTGTATTAGTTATTTCATTAAATGATTTTATTATAAAAATACTTTTACTTTTTAATGTTTTAGTGTTTATTTAAAAATATTCCCAAGATTAAGCACACCATAATATTTCCTTTTCTCTTTATGATAGGTTTGTAACCAAGTTATTGGAAGACCTTATCTTCTTTGTTGCTGATGTGCCTAACAATGGACAAGACGTTCTAGATGTGCTTATCACCAAGCCAAACCGAGAACGTCAGAAGTTAATGAGGGAACAAAACATATTGGCACAGGTGATTTTGCATATTTTATCTTTTGAATTATAGTATCAGGAAAGTTCTTGTATTAGTTACCTATTGATGTATAACAAATTACCCCAAAACTTAGTGTCTGAAGCCAGCAGATACTTAGTTTTCTGTGGATTAGGAATCTAGGGGTGGTTTAGGTGGGCAGTTCTTGCTCACGGTGTTTCACAGGCTGCAGTCAAGACCTTGGCTGGGTTGTGGTCATCTCGAGGCTCAAACGGGGAGGATTTATTACCCAGCTCACTCCCCTGGGCCTCTCCACAGGACTGCCTCAAGACTAGGCAGGCTGTGTTCCTTAGAAGTGAGGGATCCAAGACAGAAGAAGAGAGGGCCTCCAGGTGGAGGCCATAGTCTTTTTGTAACCTAATCTTAGAAATTGTAAATCTCGTCATTTTTACCTTGTTCTCTTAGTTAGAAGTGAGCCAATAATTCCAGCTCACAGTCAAGAAGACAGGATTCCATAAGAGTGTAATTCCAGGAGGCAGGGTTCACTGGGGGCCATCTTGAAGACGGCCTGCCACAGACGTCTGAAAAACCTACATGGTCAAACTGTCTCCAGAAAACATGCTGTAATAATGTTCTAAGTAGAATTTCCAGGGGAGCTTGGAAGCTGCCATCTCCATCTGCTTCCTACTTTTTTCCCATTTTCCCCTCAAAAAGTAGGGCAGGCTATTCATTAGTCTCAAGTGCTCTTTACAGTATTCTAGTTTTTTCCCTGAAAGTCGAGAAATGTTCCTATGCTATGTCTTCCTGAAGTTGTTCATCACGTGCCAGCAAATTAATTTACTCCCTAATACTATGCACATTTGGACATGCCTACCTTCGTGCATTCTTTTTATTCTGTTAATTGCTATATAAGTAATGGGCTTCTGCCTTAATTGTAGACTGTAGGAAGATACTTAAAAAATAAAATTTATGTTATTAATATACATGCTCTTGTAGAGTTGGGAAAGGAAAACATTAGACATTATAAATTAATATTCTGTAGCTGATTGTCAGGATATATAAAATCAACATTTTTCTTTTTTTTTTCCCAACATTTTTCTAAAATAAAATAAAGGTTGCAAATCTAATGAGACAGTCTTTTCTAACATTAGCATTTCTTTTGTATAAAACATTTGATTTCAAGGACTTTTAGGACCTTGAATGATTTATTAATATTATTTCAACCAATATATGTCAAACATTTTACTTCAGTATTATAAATAGAAAATTCACAGTTTAGTGAATAGAATTATTGAAGAAACTTTAATTCATATTTTATTTCATGGACTACAGAGGATAATTCTGCTTTCTTGTATGACTCCTCATGTCTTTGCCTAGGTACTCTTTTATAAATAATTTACTCATCCTGCCAGTTCATCTCCAGGTGATCTTACCTGCTATCTTGTTGCCTAAAAGAGTCATGCTTTTTAAATATTTCCCAGCTGCTAATTTTCTTGCAAGAAGAATCCGAGTTACTGGGTATCACCACTTGCCCAGATGGCTCCTTATTTGTTTTGAATGTTGATACATTCATTGATTTGATCACATCATCATGTATATAAATAATCAGTTAATTCTTTTACCAAGAGGTTTAAAAGCAATATTTGGAGGTAGTTTTTGATGTGAGTTTTAGATGAAAAATAAATATTTTCCTTATAGTGTTTTGATTTTAGAAAGTTACAGAGAATAATAGAAGTAGTTGTAAAGCCCATTGAAGTCAAACTGTATTTTAGTTCATCTGAATATATTCATGTAACTTGGTAAAACTTAAAATCTTTAAATTTTTCATTTTATTTTTTAACCAAATATTTGTTTATTTATGGTAAGTCCTTATTGGTTACTTTAAATATAGCAGTTATGAACACGTCAGTCCCAAACTCCCAATTTAGCCCTCCCTCCCACCTTCCACCTGGTAACCATAGTTCATTTTCTAGTTTGTGAGTCTGTTTCTGTTTTGAAAATAAATTCACTTGTATGATTTTTTTTTTTTAGGTTCTGCATATAAGTGATATCATATGATTTTTTTCTTTTTCTGTCTGACTTATTTGGGAACTTGAACACTTCCCGGGTATTTTTTTATTTTAATAAAGTGGAATTTCTAAACAAAATGAAGCATTTTATTTAAATATTGTTTTGTCACTTAATTTAGGGAATACTTTTAGCAGTATTTTCTGTCCCTTAATATGTTGGTCTTGTATTCCCCCCAAAATCTTTCTTTTATTTTTTTACTTTACATTAATTCTACTCAAATATTACAAAAGCCTTTTTGAGTCAACTTTGTTATAAAAAAATTTAAAAATTCTAAACATGCACCTCCATTCCTCAGAATAAGTTATAGTTGTTGTTGTTTTCTTAATAGGTATTTGGGATTCTTAAAGCACCCTTTAAGGAGAAAGCAGGAGAAGGCTCAATGTTGAGACTTGAAGATCTGGGGGACCAAAGATACGCTCCCTATAAGTACATGCTGAGGCTGTGTTACCGTGTGCTGAGACATTCGCAGCAGGACTACCGGAAAAATCAGGTTCAAGGATGGCCCTCCTTTTTATCTTTTTAACATTTAAACTATGGGCAAAGTTGTTTGGTTACAGTTCCAAGACATAGAAATTAGAAATGGGAAATTCTGCTTTGCAGTGAAATGTTTGTCTCCTGGTCATTTATGTGTGTTCCAAAGCATTTCTTTTATAATTGAAATATTTTATAACACACAAAAATGACCTGTAAATGTGTTTGAAATGACATATGTATTTATTATTCCTTATAAAATTAGAATTGTTGAGAGAGGATGACTGAGTCCTCGTGTGTGCACGGTATTAGCTCCTGCTGGGCAGGAGACATGCTGAATTTATTATGTAAAGAGGAATGAGACATTTCTTGGCATTTCTAGAAACATGTGAAACACCCCGTCATGTGTAGGCTAAAGAGTTCATTGTCTGGTGGAAAAAATATGATGTGCATCTGGAATGTAAGGCAGAGTCATGGAGCGGGTAGGGGAGATAAGACAGTATTGTGGGAATTCAGGAGAGAGAGGAGCTCAGCTAAGGTAACCCAGGAAGGGTGCTTGGAGAAGGGAGCGTTTGAATATGATAGGAATCATTAAAAAAAAAAGAATCATTTTCAGAAATTGTATGGGAACTGGCATTTTAGTGAACAGAGATTTCTGAAAAGAGAATAATAGATGCTAGAAGGGCAGGTTTATCACAAGATACACCTAACCATGGAGGGCAGGGAACCCACGTGTATCCAGAGATATAGCTTAAAGTTGCCAACTCATGTAGAACTTCGTCTCATTTTTGTCTTAAAATATAATATAATATTCAGTGAGCTCAGTGATATACATCTGCTTAATACAAAATTGTTTTCAATTAATTATCATTTGGTAAATTAGTGTCCCATGTTTCTCTTAGACAGTTGAAGAGATGAGTACATAGTCAGGAAACTTCGGTGATGAGTTTAGTCCATGCGGAAGGATGGTGTGGGAGTGGGCTGGAAAGTCATGTGGGCTGAGCTTTGGAGGGCTGAGGATATCTCACCTGGAGGCTGGATGTTATTTGGGAATCAGTTCAGTTCAGTTCAGTCGCTCATTCGTGTCTGACCTTTTGCGACCCCAGGGACTGCAGCACACCAGGCTTCCCTGTCCATCACCAACCCCCGGAGTTTACTCAAACTCATGTTCATTGAGTCGGTGATGTCATCCAACCATCTCATCCTCTGTCGTCCCCTTCTCCTCCCGCCTTCAATTTTTCCCAGCATCAGGGTCTTTTCAGATGAGTCAGTTTTTCACATCAGGTGGCCAAAGGATTGGAGTTTCAGCTTCAACATCAGTCCTTCCAATGAACACTCAGGACTGATTTCCTTTAGGATAGCCTGGTTGGATCTCCTTGCTGTCCAAGGGACTTTCAAGAATCTTCTCCAACAACACAGTTCAAAAGCATCAATTCTTTGGTGCTCAGCTTTCTTTATAGTCCAACTCTCACATCCATACATGACTACTGGAAAAACCATAACCTTGACTAGATGGACCTTTGTTGGCAAAGTAATCTCTGCTTTTTAATATGCTGTCTAGGTTGGTCATAACTTTTCTTCCAAGGAGTAAGCATCTTTTATTTTTTTTTTCCATTCATTTTTATTCATTGATTTCATGGCTGCAGTCACCATCTGCACTGATTTTGGAGCCCAAAAAAATAAAGTCAGCCACTGTTTCCACTGCTTCCCATCTATTTGCCATGAAGTGATGGGACAAGATGCCAATGATCTTAGTTTTCTGAATGTTNATATTGAGTGCAGCACTTTCACAGCATCATCTTTTAGGATTTGAAATAGCTCAACTGGAATTCCATCACCTCCACTAGCTTTGTTCATAGTGATGCTTCCTAAGGCCCACTTGACTTCACATTCCAGGATGTCTGGCTCTAGGTGAGTGATCACACCATTGTGGTTATCTGGATCATAAAGATCTTTTTTGTACAGTTCTTCTGTGTATTCTTGCCACCTCTTCTTAATATCTTCTGCTTCTGTTAGGTCCATACCATTTCTGTCCTTTATTGTGCCCCTCTTTGTATGAAATGTTCCCTTGGTATCAGTAAGTTTTACTTAAGGCAAGAACACATTCTAGTCAGTAAATTTTCCCAGCATAGAAAACATCCCCAAGGAGAATCCCCAAGAAACTGAAGTGAAAACTTTGGACTGTGGAGAAGGTTAAGCTTACCAGTTCTGAGATGGAGCTGGAATAGAGAGGCAGGCTGGTGGGACGGAGAAGCAGCAGATGGAATCATTCATGGGGGAACTCCCCAGTGGCTTTCTCTTGCTCTGAGAATGGGCCTTTCTCTTTTCACATGGCTCTCCAGGACCTCACCTCCCACGTCAGCTCTTGTTTTTTCCTCACTGATGACTTTCCTGCTGCAACGGGCACCCTGTGTTTACAGAACTCAGAAGACTCGGTTCCAACACCACGGAACCTTCCACTTACTACTCCCATTGCTTCAATGACTTATCTCCCCATGATTGCCTCTTTTTTTTTTTTTTTTTAAATCATTTCTATCATTTCTATCCCAGGTCAAATGTCACCTCTTCAGCACCTACCCCATCTAAATTTGTCAGCTTTTCCCATCCTTCTGGTTGTTTCATTTCACTTATCAATACCTAAAATGATCCTATTTGTTAGGTTAATGACTGCCCTTTATCACTAGGACCTGAGCTCCATGGGAGCTTGTCTGTCTTGTTTCTTGCCATACCCCAGCTCTCAATTCTTCAACATGTGTTTGCTAAAAGCAAGTACATCCTCTTACATAGCCATACTATAGAGCTGGAATGGCCTTCCAGAAATATCTATTGGATGAATTGGTCTGAGCAATAAAGTGATTAATCATATTACCTTACTGGACTTTCTTCCCGTTTGCCTTTTTATTTGTCATTTTTTTAACCGATTTTTTTTTTAAGGTGAAAAGTGCTATGTAATTTTGTCATTATTTTAAAGAGAAGATTTAATAGATCGTTGTAGTATGTGTGAAAAAAAGAAATCGCCTAGGTTCACCTAGGATCTTCATATAACAATATGGAGTTCATGCTTCATGAACAAAATGTCAGAGGGTCATTTTCATTTCTATAATTGTGCCAAAATCCTAGGTTATGACTTTTAGTGAGCGTTTGAAGAAGGGCATCTGTTATACTGGTGAGATATTTAGTTATCATGTCATAAAAAATTGTGATTTTTAACTAGGTTTATTTTTGTTTTTCTAATTTGTAAGTGTAAGCACCATATTAAAAATTATTTCTAGGCATGTAATTTTCTGTTATAATTAAAATGAGGTCTGTATTAATATATTTGCAATTCCTTCCTTAGAAGTCCTATTTATTGAAGAATTACTTATTTGCTTTTCTTTTGACAAGAGAAAACACACTAAAAATTATTATGAATAAATTAATCACTGTTGCTGACCCTAATAGAACCTGTTATTCCTAAGCTGTTTGGTAGCGCATTCTGACAGCTCTTCTTCTTTGCAGGAATACATTGCTAAGAATTTCTGTGTCATGCAGTCCCAGATTGGCTATGATATTTTGGCAGAAGATACCATCACAGCTTTGTTGCACAACAACAGAAAACTACTAGAGAAACACATTACAGCAAAAGAAATAGAAACATTTGTTAGTTTACTCAGGAGAAATCGAGAGCCAAGGTTTGAAGTAGTTCATGCGTTGTTTTCTTGTGGGGTTTATGGCTTATTGCTCTATTTTCAGAACTTTTGTAAAGTTGGAATTCTTTCATGGACAAAACAGTGCTGGACTTATTGCTATGATAATTATGAATCATCATGAGTTATTATCTCATAGGAGATCAAAACTCTTTATAGATAATGTATTTAAATGTGGTTGATTTTCACTCTGATAACTTGTGTTTTTATAGTTCTCCATAGTTTTTCAAAATATGTTCATATACATGTTAATACATTGTTTCATTTAAATCCTTGCGCATTCTCCTGAAGTACACTGGTCATAAAATATTATCCACATATTAGAGATGAGAAAATAGAAGCCTACAAACCAACTGGAAAGAGAAGTTAGGGTTTCTGACTCCACGGGAAGTTGCCTCTCTCTTATTCCATGCTGCCTTATCTGGGAGAAGTGATTGCAGAGAAGTCAAGTAGATTGACAAAGTCTTCGTAATTAGCCTGGCAAATAAGTGTTAGAAGGTAGAATTAGGCCTCTGACTAGACCAGGCCGAATTCACGTTAAGTGTGTGCTGTCTGTTTTACTGAGTACAGTGTTAGCTTTGATCTGGCTTTGTTTTGATACTGTAAATATAACAAGTCACAGTGCTGTGGGATGAATATCACCAAATAAGAAGAAGCAAGCTTATATCATTTTTGGAAACAAGATTTGTACTGAGTACAAATAATTGGATGTTTAATTTGGTCTCTAATGATGTAGTAGATAAGCAGCACATTAGAAAACTGTTGCATGGAAATAATATTAAAAATATATCTAGACAGTTTCATTATATCCCAAAGTATATTTTGGGACATGATTTTATAAGATGCTTTTAGCTAATGTTCAATTTAATTTTTTTTCTCTTGTCAGGTTTTTGGATTATTTATCAGATCTGTGTGTGTCTAATACCACCGCGATACCCGTAACTCAAGAACTCATCTGCAAATTTATGTTGAGCCCAGGCAATGCAGACATTCTCATTCAAACCAAGTAAGCCCAAATGATGGAAGCATCCTTTTATGTTCTTTATTTGTAAGCAGGACAGTTCCTTGTCTTGTTTCTGAATGAACTTTTTCATAGATTTTTGTGTGTGTTATTTATTTCAAGACTGGTCTCAATGCAAGGAGACAACCCCATGGAGAGTGCCATCCTGTCAGATGACATTGATGAGGAAGAAGTTTGGCTCTACTGGATTGACAGCAACAAGGAACCTCATGGCAAAGCTATCAGGCACCTTGCCCAGGAGGCCAAGGAGGGCACCAAGGCTGATTTGGAAGTCCTTACCTATTACAGGTTAAGTATCACAGAGATCCATAATTCTCAGTCTCGTATACTGAGAAGTGATTCTCAGAAATCTGTAAATCTGTGAAGTCAGATGTCTGTGAAGAAGTTTAAGAAGTTATATCAGAACTAGGGTAGCTGAAATACTTAGTATTGTTTAAAATATTAACAATAAGTGTAAACGTCTGTGTTTTCCACATATATCACTTGCTATTTTCTCATTTTCTGCTAGTTTGGAACTGTTGTGCAGCAAAGGATTTTTTCCTCTTGTTGACTGGTGTAGGTGCAGATAATCGAGTGGAGAGGGAGATAGAATTGGGGCCAGGGAAGCTGATTTGGTTGTAGAGGTGGCCTCAGAGAAGGTTAGCCAGTAGTTATGTATATATTGCTCATGGTCATGTAGAGACCTGGGACGTTGGACAAACTGGTGTCTATAGTTGTGAAAGTTCAGTGGTGGCATATAGTAGTTGAAGTTTCAGTGGTGGTTGATGTAGTCAGTATAGTGAGAGCAAGAACCGAGTTGGTGTGTTTTGAGTCTAAGGCATGGAAACCCAAAGCAGAAACCAAGACTGGGCCCAGATCACAAAAATCTGAGAAAGACAGAGAATTCCTTGTGTTCCCTGGTTTCTACAGCTGCAAAATCAAAGGCTACTTTCTGTATCTTGCAGGCTGATGAATCAAAGTGTACTGATGCCATTTGGATTGGTCACTTGAGTCATCATTGAGCATTTGGGAGCTGAGTAGGTCTGCACTTGGAATGTAGACATGAGAGCCTGGAACAAGGCAGAGAGAGATGGTTTCACGAGAGCTGTTATTCACAGCCTTTGGGCTTAGTGTATTTGTAATCCTAGGAAACCAAGAACCTAGAGCCTGATGGCAGTCTCCGCCAGAAACTTGTTGCTGGAACAAGTGAGAGAAATTGCAACTGAATGGGCTTAGAAATGACCTTATCCATGTGCCATTCAATCACTTAACCCACTACTGCAATGTCCAGTATCACATACACTTGGAAATATTAGAAACATAAAAGTAGATGCAGATTGATAGTAATACTTAGACTTTATACAGATAAGACAAATAATGCAATATATTTACTATTTTTAAGGTACCAGCTCAATCTCTTTGCAAGGATGTGCTTGGATCGCCAGTATCTGGCCATAAACCAGATTTCTACACAACTCTCTGTTGATTTGATCCTGCGATGTATGTCAGATGAGAGCCTGCCTTTTGACCTCCGAGCATCTTTTTGTCGCCTCATGCTCCACATGCATGTTGACCGGGATCCCCAGGAGTCCGTGGTCCCTGTTCGCTATGCCCGGCTCTGGACAGAAATCCCCACGAAAATCACAATTCATGAGTATGTTTGGGAACATTTCTCGATGACTTTAAATTCAGCTGAGGAACTCAAAATCAAATGTCTTCAATTTCTTAAAAAATTTATTTTATTGAAATAGGATGGTTGATTTACAATGTTGTATTAATTTCTACTATACAGAAAAGTGATTCAGTTATACACACACATATATATATATACACACACATTCTTTTTCATATTCTTTTCCATATGGTTTGTCACAGGATATTGGATATAGTTCCCTGTACTATATAGTAGGATCTAGTTTTTTATGCATTCTATATATAATAGTTTGCATCTGTTAATCCTGAACTCCCAATCCATCCCTCCCCCAAATGTCTTCAATTTTGAAATGGAATATAAGGAAAGGCATTTCTGTGTTCAAATGTGGCTTCTTTAACCTTCCAAATGCAAATGAGATACTCTTTTTGGAAAGTAAAATGACAACTTTGATAATAGAAATGTTATTCTGGAAACCAGTAATCAGGAAACATATTAATAATAGGAGCAAAAGTTTGTTAAGTCTTTAATATTATGGTAGACTTTGATTTAAGTGCTTTACATGTAGTAACTCACTTCAAAACAGGCCCATTTTACAGATGAGAACACAGCATCTAGAAAGGTTGATTAATTTACCCCAACTTAGAAGTCAGGAGGTTAAAGTATGTATATTTTCCAATTTAAATGACTACAATCAGTTTAACTTCCTTTAAATTCTTTATGTGCTCCCAGATATGATTCTATAACAGACTCTTCCAGAAATGATATGAAGAGGAAATTTGCACTGACAATGGAATTTGTTGAAGAATACTTGAAAGAAGTTGTAAATCAGCCTTTTCCTTTTGGAGATAAAGAAAAAAACAAACTGACATTTGAGGTAATTTTTTTGAAACAATTAATCTGTGAAGTTATTCACTTTACCCTGTCTAAAATTAGGTACATTGAACATCAAAGATTTTTTCCTCTCTAATATTTAGGATGTTTTGATAATTTGGTAGTTAAATTCCTGAAGGTATGATTCCCTCTGCCATTGATTAAAAGATAGATTTGATATTTTAATTATATCTGATATACACAATATTTTATTTATAATTATCTGTTATATACACTCTTTTCTTTGATTTATTTATTTATTTGTGTAAACTTCATTGCATTTAATGGACAGAGAGTTTTGCATATTTATAATATATTTTGCATACATTAAAAAAATCTCCATTAAAGTGATATTTTTAGCCTCATTAAACTAAATTGAAATTATAGTGTCACTTTGAGTAGATAGTGACAAAACTAGAGAGAAGATGCCATTACCTGATGCCTGGGGTATTAGGTACCTACTACTGATGTGTAACAGATTACCCCCAAACCTTGCAGCCCAAAGTAACAAGCATGATTATCTTATGTTTCTGTGGGTCAGAAATCGGGTGGTTCTGGATAAGGGTCCCTCGTGAGGTTGTAAATCAAGCTGTTGATTGGGGTTACCGTCATCCGGGGTTAGATGATCTGCTTCTAAGCTCACTGTGTGGTTGTACTTTCTTGCTGGCTATTTCCTAGACACCTCATTCTTCTTGCCATGTGGGCCTTTCCATCGGCTGCCTCCGTGTCCTCACAGCATGGCGCCTCGCTTCCCCTGGGGTAACTATTTGAAAGAGAGAAAGGGCCCAAGATGGAAGTTGCAGTCTTCTATAACCTGAGCTTAGAAGTGCCTTGTATCATTCTGCTGTATTTTGTTGGTGACACCGACTAACCCTGGGGCAGTGTGGAAGGAGACCCTATGTTGGGGACTGTCTTGGAAGCTGGCGCTCATGCCTAGTATGTCCTGTAGTATCCAGAAGACCACAAAGTGGCATAAAGAACATGTATTTCTAGACAAATTTCATGGATAATATTTAGTTGCTAAAGTAATTCATTAATGTGACTGTTCATTAAGTGATAGCCTACTGACTAAATAACTTAATATTTAAGCAAGAGGTCAATCATTCTACTGTAAGCCTCATGTAACCACCCTGATACAACTAAAGTCTGTCTTCTTGCTTCCCCTGCTGACTGTTCACCAGATACCTCATATTCCTGTCACATGGGCCTGTGATGGGGTTGATTAACTGGTCTTATTTTGATTTAATTCTAAACTTGATTAAATCAGAGTTCAGTGGTTACTTTTGCAGGTATTAAATTCCTAGGTATTAATGAATTAGAAGAGGACTGCCTGAAGGATGTATTTCCTGTTGATTAGATAGAATTCTTTTTAAAATTTTTGAAGTATAGTTAATTTACAATATTATATTAGTTTCAGGTATATAACAGAATGAGTCAATATTTTTGTAGACTATACTCCACTGAAAGTTATTACAAAATAATGGCCATGTTTCCCTGTGCTGTAAAGTATATCATTTTTGCTTATGTGTTTTATACATAATGGCTTCTACCTCTCAGTTTTCTATACCCGGATTGCTCCTCCCCACTTCCCTCTGCCCGCTGGTAATCACTAGTTTGTTGTCCATGTTTAGGCGGGGTTCTTTAAAATCTACCTTTCTATTAAATCAGACCAGCTGGAAAAAAAAAAAAAGAATTAGACACAATTAGACATGTCTGCACAAACTTAGATAATAAAAATTCAATACTTATTTTTGTTCCTAATGTTTTTCTTTTCTTTTCTACCCTTTTTCTTCTTTTTCTAAATTAGGTGGTTCACTTGGCTCGGAATCTTATATACTTTGGATTTTACAGTTTCAGTGAGTTGTTAAGGCTAACAAGGACTCTTCTGGCTATCTTAGATATTGTCCAGGCCCCCATGTCATCATATTTTGAAAGATTAAGCAAATTTCAAGATGGAGGTAAGAACTTTGGAGAAAAGTTATAATCTTTTTGGCATTACTTTGAAGTGAGATAAAAAACAAATCTGTCGAGAGTGGTTGTGAACCTGTACCTGGTAATATATATGTGCAAGTGGACCTTTATCCTGTGATAGGACTGAATGCCAAAAGGCTAGATTTGCTAACATGCTTCTCTTTTTAATGAAAAACTTTAAAAGACAACTTCATAAAATCAAGGAATTCCATCATGCTATGGTCAGTTCATTAGTGAACATATTATGTGTTAAAAAATAAACACTTGAGACTTCACTGGTGGTCCAGAGGCTAAGACTCCATGTTTCCAGTGCAAGGGGCCCAGATTTGATGCCTGGTCAGTGAACTAGATCCTGTATGCTGCAACTAAGAGTTTGCAGGCCATAGCTAGAGGAACCTCATACTGCAACAAAGACCGAAGATCTCGCGAGCTGCAACTAAGAGCCAGTGCAGCCAAATTGGAAATAATATTTGAGATCATCCTGGTGTGTGCCACGTGCTGGCTACCCTTCATAGCAGGGCAATAGAAAAATGCAGAGAATGGGTACATGCAGGGCCACACCAAAGAGGCAGTGGGTGCAAAGCCATTATAGAGGCAGTACAGTACAGTGGGCAAGAGAGCATGTGCTTTGGAGTCAGAGTGCCTATGTTCCAATTCAGGCTTGACCACTTTTTATTAACTTAGGCAAGGTACTTCTCCTCTCTAAGAGTTTCTTTTCTATTTGAGATATGGTGATAAAGTCAGTTTTCATTCCAATCCCAAAGAAAGGCAGTGCCAAAGAATGCTCAAACTACTGTACAATTGCACTCATCTCATACACTAGTAAAGTAATGCTTAAAATTCTCCAAGCCAGGCTTCAGCAATACGTGAATGGTGAGCTTCCAGATGTTCAAGCTCGTTTTAGAAAAAGCAGAGGAACCAGAGAGCAAATTGCCAATACCCTCTGGATCATCAAAAAAGCAAGAGAGTTCCAGAAAAACATCTGTTTCTGCTTTATTGACTATGCCAAAGCCTTTGACTGTGTGTATCACAATAAACTGGAAAATTCTGAAAGAGATGGGAATACCAGACCACCTGACCTGCCTCTTGACAAACCTGTATGCAGGTCAGGAAGCAACAGTTAGAACTGAACATGGAACAAGAGACTGGTTCCAAATAGGAAAAGAAGTACGTCAAGGCTGTATACTGTCACCCTGCTTATTTAACTTACATGCAGAGTACATCATGAGAAACGCTGGGCTGGAAGAAGCACAAGCGGGAATCAAGGTTGCCGGGAGAAATATCAATAACCTCACATATGCAGATGACACCACCCTTATGGCAGAAAGCAAAGAAGAACTAAAGAGCCTCTTGATGAAGGTGAAAGAGGAGAGTGAAAAAGTTGGCTTAAAGCTCAACATTCAGAAAACTAAGATCATGGCATCTTAGACTCATTGGAAAAGACCCTGATGCTGGGAAAGATTGAGGGCAGGAGGAGAAGGGGATAACAGAGGACAAGATGGTTTGATGGCATCACCAACTCAATGCACATGGGTTTGGCTGAATTCTGGGAGTTGGTGATGGACAGGGAAGCCTGGTGTGCTGCAGTCGATGGGGTTGCAAAGAGTTGGACACGACTGAGTGACTGAACTGAACTGAACTGAATGATAGCATCTCCCTCACGGTTTCCTTGTGAGAATTAAGTGAATGTATACAACATATTGAAAGCACTTATACCAGTGCTTGCCTCATAATTCGATAGTTTGTTTCAGATGGTGATTGTCTTCAGGTTGGATGTCCTGAAAATACCCTGTGGTGTAGAATTGTTTGCAGAATGTATATTGAAGAGTGCATTTGGGATATATTACCTGTAAAGAAGTGGAGAAGGTAGGCTTGCCGTTTAGGATATACACCTGTAAGGAAGTGGAGAAGCTGAGCCACATTGTGGTTACAATTGAGGTCTTTGCTGATCCTACAGGGATCTCTGGAGCGGGGATGGTGCTTCACAGTTATCACAAATTAAGGCAGAGAGCCTGGGCTTTGTATCCTCATAGTAGCCAGCATTGATTGCTGGCTTCATCATAGAGAGGATGTGCAGCCTTCAATCAGGCAGCTCCTTTTGGATGGTGGTCTCTCTTAGTGAGAAGCATGGGTATGAGAAGTCAGCAGCCATGACTGGCCAGCAACTGAGAAAACAGATACCTCAGCTCTGAATAGGTGATGAGGGTACAGCCCAGTGTATCCACTACAGGATTAAACAGTGAAGCCGGAAATCTAACCTCAAATATAGAGAAGAAATATCTGACAAAGAATGACAAACAAGTAGCTGAAGTAATTAACTGCCGCTGCTTAAATCTCAGTTCCTTCTACATCTGCCAAAAATTTGTACATGTCAGTAAGACGCAAATGAAACTTTGTATATCCCTCACCTTCAGCAGAACTAGAAGACAGAGGACAGGACGAAGTTATTGTAAGTAGAAAAATGACATCAGTTTTTAGTGGCACTGCCTCATTATTCCCACTGAAAGCTTATGTGGATATTTAGGGGGTTCTGGAAAAACCGTGTGGAGGAGACTGTGTGAAAATCATCCATAGAAGGAATTCGCTGGCGGTTGTGGTTGTTACAACTCTACACCTTCCACTGTGGTGGGGAGGGAGGGTGTCGATCCCTGGTCAGGGAACTAAGATCCTGAAAGCTGTGCGGTGCGCCACTCCCCCGCCCCCCCAAAAGAAGGAATTCACCCTTAGAAAGAGAAGGTCTATCCTAAGATGAAACATACTGAAAGAGAATCCAGAATCCAGATAGATAAGAACTCTGACTAAAGAGGAAGGAACTTGAATGGACACAGGGAACAGTTAGGGAAAACTAGAGGTGAACAGGTTAAAAGTAAGACAGAGGCACCCTTTGGACTCTTGTTGGTGAACGGGAAAAGAAACAAGGTGGGGAAATCTGGAATACCACAAAATAAAATAAAATTGAAGAAAATAAAACTTTCTCTACAGCCTCCCAACAAAGGCCAACCTTTAAAAGAGACTGCATTTCATGACTTGGGCAGGAGAGGGTGCACTTGAGCTGAATATCATGTAAATCAGCCCACGTCACCTTGTCCATGAAATGCAGAGATGTAATCAATTGTCAACTGAAGGAAAGGACTATAAGATCAAAACAGAATGGAGAATCAAAACATTTCAGTTGATGGAAATTCCTCTCTGAATATCAACTGTGGAAGAGAAGAGAATTCCAACAGGATACTCTCAACTGAAATGAAAACATAAACATATGATAAACACCTGGAATCATAAATCCAAGAATTAAGGTTAGAAATGGATGAAAAAAAAGAAAGCGCAGTAAGAAATGAAAGTTCACTGGACTCAGAAAAGAGAAAGACTTTATTATTATTATTAGAAATAACAGACTGAATTACACAATATCAAAGGGAGAATAGATTTGATTGAAAGTGTAGGAAGCACCACTGAAGAAAGGAAGGAGAACAGTAATGAGAATGTTAAGTATGTAAAAAAAAAAACAAGTAAAAATGTCAGTGAGAAAATTGTTGAAATGGAAGAAAGCAAAGAGGAGCCATTGTGTGAATAATTGGAGTCCTTGTAAAAGAAAAACGAAACAGAGGAGCAGACCTGAGATTTAAAATTCCAATCCAAGAAAACATTCTGTAACTAAAAGAAAACTTGAATTATGCTTGGTGTAGAGAATGGTAATCTCCAAGACTAAAGACAGAATAAAGAAACTATCATATAAACTATTACATACAGTATATATTCAGAGAAAGTGGTGTTGGGGGGCAAGGAAGCAGTAGGAAAGCAAATGGAGAAATAAAAGAAAGTAGAGATGCTTCCTAGTGTCATGTCTTTACAACATCCAGTTTACTTTACACCAGACCATCCTTTAAAAACTTAAAGTTGATTTCGACTTTTGTTCTCAGTGCTTATAATCTGTTTTCAGAGTTTTATCCTAAAGAAAAGTATTTGAATCCTCTGAAAAATTGCTGATATCTTGTATGTACTCTCCACTGTTTTATGCATGTCTGCCCTCTGAGAGACATTTTTTTTACTCTTTCCAATATTTTATAATTCTCATATTTTCTCATGGGCTCCATTCACCTCTGGATACCTTAATCATTTTATCAGTTATATGAGAACCATTAATTAAATTACTCAGTAAATTCTCACTGAATAATTATTACTGAGCAACTGTTGTCTACCAGACATTACTCTAGTCAGTGGGAAAAATGATGAACAGGATGCAATCCCTAGTCCCTTGACAGAACAGACAATAAATAGGCATAGTCCCACCCCTCTCCCTACAGGGGGAGACAGGCAGATCATAAATGAATATACACTGCTGTATTGAATAATACTATGGACAAAAATCAACTAGGACAATATGGAGTATGATGGAGAGGGGACAGGCAGTTACTTTTAGCTAAAATGGATTTTTTTAAAATTGAAGTAGAGTTGATTAACAATGTTGTGTTAGTTTTACATATACAGCAAAATCATTTAGTTATACATACAGATATATTGCTTTCTTTTCAGATTGTTTTCTCTCTCAGATTATCACAAAATATTGAGTATAGTTTCCTGTGCTCTAGAGTAGGTCCTTGTTGTTTATCTGCTTTATGTATGGTAGTGTGTATATGTTAATTCCAAACTCCTAATTTATTCCTCACCCTATTCCCCTTTGGTAGACCTAAGTTTGTTTTTTATGTTTGTGGGTCTATTTATGTTCTGTATGTAAGTTCATTTGTATCATTGTTTTTAGATTCCACACATAAGTGAGATCATATGGTGTTTGTCTTTCTCTGCCTCACTTATTTCACTTAATGTGATCATCTCTAGGTCCGTCCATGTTGTTGCATATGGCATTATTTCATTCTCTTTTCTGGCTTCGTAATAGTCTGTTGTATATATGTACCACATCTTCTTTATCCATCCATCTGTTGATGGACATTCAGGTTGCTTCCATGTCTTGGTTGTTGTAAATAGTGCT